GATGGATGGATGGATGGATGGATGGATGGATGGATGGATGGATGGATGGATGGATGGATGGATGGATATTCTAGTGAGACCTAACAATGATGATTGTAGAATACTAACAAATATTAAGTGTGCATACAAAGCTGAGTCAGGTATAAGTCAGGTTCACAGGTTTTTAGACTGTGACAAAAATCACATAATTTTGTTTATGGGATCTGAAATGAAGGAATCAGAAAGTCATTGAAGTGCAGACTTTCAGCTTTAATTCAAGGGGTGTGGGAATTATAGTCAGTTTTTACATACATACAGTCCCTCCATTTCCACAGGCTTAAAAGTAAATAAGAGCTGTATGACTACTTATTTGAGTGTGCAGGAAGCCGACCAGAAGTTTGCTAACTCAGGCGGCAGGAATCTTGGCGGTGCCTGCTCTCTTTGGGCTTCACAGAGAAGGATGCCAATGCCCAATGAGCCCAAATATGGGGAAGCAGGTCATCCAGAAAACTCTTTTTTAGTGCACGTGCAGCTGAGCAGCTTTTGTTTGCATGAACAAAGCGCCATATTGTAATCAGGTATCCAGTTCTCCTTTAGAGGAAAGGATTTTTTTCAGCAAACCCACAAAATGGACAGCGATCAGAATATTAGGAGATATTCAATGAAATTTACAAAAAATTTATTAGATTTAATGAACTGACTCTACCTGTCAATTGTGAGTACCCTGTCAATATAACCAATTGATATGATGCCAGACATGTAAAAACAAGAGCCAAAATATAATGGAGCAGAAATATCATTTAACCTTACATTATAAAAAATATGTTGAATAACGCTGCAGTGTATGTGTATGCAACAACAACTCACATTTTCTAGTGATTCATCAAGAATGATTGCCCCATAAGTAGGAACACCCATCTTGTACTCCTTCCACTGCTCGAGAATTTTCTGCACATCCTCTCCATGAGGTAGTAGAAATGGGCAGTGATGAAAGAGTTTGTAGCTGTCAAGGAAAAATTATTCTGGAACATGTCTATCAGCATGAACCAAAATGTGCACCAACCTCATTTGCCCTCTTACTCTGAAGATGAGCCACTGTGAAAACCACACTGCTCATGTTAGCTCATGTTAAAAATCACAGAATATTGTTTTCAGTGGTTGTTATTAGAACAAAAAAATGCACTGAAAGTTGTTGTTTTTTTGTTTTTTTAAAGATATGCTGTGGAATACATGCAGTACAGCACAATGGATATCAATACACATTAATACATGTAAAGCCTGCAATTAAAAAGCAATAAGATCATTTTACATCATTAGTCACATGTAAGGATATCAGCTTTGGCGAAGTCTCGTATCCCACAGTGAGGAGCTCCTGGAGTGTTCTGCATGCAGAAATCCAGGTAGAACCAGTGGGCCAGCTCAATCTGGAAGCACAGTCGAATTGCATTGTCCCGTTCTTCACTGGGGATGTGCAGGATGAACCGACTAGAAGGACACAGAAGAGAGAGGATCAGGGCTGGATCATGTATCTGGTGCCTTTTCTATGGTTATTTTATTGTGTTATACTTTGCGTCTTCTCTTTAAATCTGTGTTATATACAGTTCATTGTGAATTTTGCTGTACAGTTTTATGTATTTTCAAGCTCTTTCGCGAGCTATGTACTGGAAATTAGTTTATGTTATAAATGTTTTATACTTCTTTGTTTATACACACAGACACACATACAGAGAGTTGTGAACAAAGGTTTACATGCAGTTATAAAGACCATGTATTTCATGACAGTCTTGAGTTTCTAGTCACTCCTAGAGCCTGGTCACAGGTTCTTAGTGGGATTTAAGTCAGGACTTTGGGGGGACCAGTCTGAAACCTGATTTCTCGCCAGATTTAGCGATTTCTTTACCATTTTAGAGG